GGCTGCAGGTGCCCAGGTGGGACTTGAACATATTTCTTCCTGGCCAGATGTCTCCTCTGGAGTGTCCCTGTCCCTTCCTCAGGCTTGGTTTTAGCTGCCTGGCAAGTGTCACCCCCACTGGGTGTGAGCTGTGAAGGGGCTTGGGGGCATGACTGTCCTGTCCAGGCTGCTCCCCAGACTCACAGGAGCCGTCACAGTGCCTGGGACTCAGTCAGTGTTTTCTTTTTGTTGTTAATCCTCACCAAAGGATATTTTTCTACTGATTTTTAGAGAGAGTGGAAGGGAGGGAGAGAGAGAGAAACTTTGATGTGAGAGAGACACATTGATTGGTTGCCTCCCACATGACCCCAACCAGGGCCGGGGATCAAACCTGCAACCTGGGTACGTGCCTCTGACCAGGAATTGAACCCACAGCCCTTTGGGGCACAGGCTGGCCCCCTAACTGCTGAGCCACACAGGCCAGGGCCAGTCAGTGTTTCCTGGCTCAGTGATTGCACCCACCTCAACGAGCCTGCTGCCTAGCTCTGTGGCCGTTTTATGGCCGTAGGAACATGTGCAGTCCACATTCACGCCCCCAAAATGGATCCCCAGTTATAGGGGTGCTGGCAGCTGAGCTGATTGAAGCACGTGGCTGTTGTGTGCACCCTGGGGGTGGGCAGACTCTCCCAGCAGCACGGCCTTCCCCTCCTACCCTGAAGCAGGGCTGCCTGGTGCTGGCTAGTGGTCTGCACGCCGCTGATCAAGGCGACCTGTGCCGGGGGAGCCGCTCGGCGTGTCCTCTGACTAGGCAGTGCCGCGGGGTCCCTCGTGCTGTGTTCAGAGAGGACAGGCGACATCTCATCTCACCCTCTGCGGGCTCTTCTTACATCAGGCAGATCGCTTAGTTTTTAATTACAGTCATTCGTATAGACGTTTTCTTAGAAAAGTTCCGGTCATCTGGCTTGCCCCGCTCATTCATTCATTGAGTGTTCGCGGGGCGTCTGCCACGTGTATGATGTCTTTCTAGTCTGCAGGGTTCAGAGAAGCTGCAGGAAATGCCTTGTTTGAGAGGTGCATAGGTTGTCCATGGCACAGGGCATCTGGCCATGGGGCGGCTGGGGCTGGTCTACTCCTGCATGGGGTGGTCTTCACCTGAAGGAGTGTCTTGCCGATGTGAACCAGGGTATCCCTTCCCCTCTGTTTGCTACTCAGCTGATGAACTTGACTCCTCTCTCCCCACAGCTCCCCCCAGGTCTGCCCCTCGCCCTGTTCCCTGGGGCCGCCAGTGCTGCCCCGCCCCCCCCCACCCCCCACCCCAGCCATTGCCTCTCGGGATGGGGATGGGGATGGTCAGGAGGAGGACTTCACACCTGTGTAGACCAACTTATCTGCCACAAGGGGGCGTTACTCTGGAGAATAAAAGAGGAGCTATATTATTATCCATAGAGATGGAGGAAGAGGTATTTGCAGAGGGCAGCCAGAGACCTTGTGAGGAGAGCTGGGTCCAGAGCTGGGCGTGGACGGAGGAGGGCTGTGCCCACGGGAGGCTGGGTCCCTGGTGGACTTGGGGTGCGAGCAGCATAGAAGGGTGCCAGGGACCTGGGCACACGATTGCTTGTGCCCTAGACCTCCGTTCTGTCATGAAGGAGCCCCTGCTCTGTGAAGGCTCCGCAGCCGTCACGGGCAGCGGGCATCCTCATGCAACATTATAGCATCAGTGCTTCTCATGTTGTTAAGGCGTGCTGGGTGATATCATTTTTTAATCCTCCATGTTGATTTTATAGAGAGAGGAAGGGAGAGAGAGAGAGAAGAGAGAAACACTAATCGGTCGTCTCCCATATGCCCTCTGACCACGGATCGAACCCAAAACCTTTTGGTGTACAGATGACAGTCCAGCCACCCGGCCAGGGCATGGGTGATGCCGTGTCTCATCATTGCCCTATGTGCTGCCATGCACTTAACCAGCTCCGCCACTGGGTACTTACCGTGTTTCCTTTACTACAGCATCTCTGCGTCAGGTCCTGGCTGCAGAATGGACCATCAGCGTGTGGAAGACCCGGGAGGGCAGGGTGGGGCTGGAGCGGGTGCCTCCGGAGGCAGAGGAAGTGGAGTCCCGGCTTGCAGCCAAGGCAGGGAAGCCTGCTTCCTCCCAGGGCCCCGCCTCGGCCCTGGGCTGGGTCTCATCTCGACGTGATGCTTGCTGTTCACCTCCCTCAGTCCTGAGCTCAGCCCAGCACCTCAGTCCCCAGCGGGCAGCCGGCTGTGCTGCGGGCCTGATGGACACAGGACTCGGGATTGGGGCTGTGTGGGATGGAAGGACAGCTGGTGGGGTGACAGATGTCCTTCAGAGTCCAGGGGGACCAGGCTCTCAGCAGAGCTCAGGCATCGGGCAGTGAGGACCCCATGGGGCGGGGGCAGTGGGAGATCCCGAGGGTGGGACCAGGAGGGGCATCTCAGGAAAGGTGCCTCTTCCTTTCAAGCCCCAAGTCTCAGCATAGCTCTGTCCTTATGGGGCTCCCTTATCCATCTCCCCTAAATGCGTTGGTTGGGACTTTCACAGTGGTAGTGAAGCAGAGCATGTGGCCCTGTCACCACACCAGGCAGGCAGCAGGAGTGCTTGTCCCCAGGGGCCCGCCTAGAGTCCCCCGTGGCAGGTGCCAGGCTCTGGCTGGGTCCGGTGCTCTCACCTTCTCCCTGCTGCTGCCCGGCCCTGGCCCAGGAGCTGCTGAGCCCAGGCTGCCGCCTGCCAGGCCCCACCCAGAGGATCCCGGGAGCTGGCCGGGGTGCCCTGGGCCGGCGCCACAGCCCCCTGCTTGCCCTCACCCTCCCCTCCGGAGATCCTGATGGATGAGGCAGCTCCCTCCAGCCTGTGTGGTGCTTACGGGAGTGGTCACAGGCGGGGCCCCGGGGTGGCAGTGGTTCGCTCACCTTCCCCTCCGTCCTGCTGTGGCTCTGGGAGGCCCTGAGTTTGTTGGGTCCCAGGAGGAGGCCCTGCCCTGCCTTCCTCTTCTGCCCAGGGACCGGCTGCCTGGGGGACAGGCGAGCTCCTCTCCATCCCCTCTGCTCCTCCCCAGGGCTGGGGGCGGTGAGATCTGCCCCGGCTGGAGAGCAGGGCCCGGGCGATAGGCGGAGGCATGCTGGGCACAGGGCCTTCCCCGTGTCTCCCTCCCTAGGTCATTCACTGTGAAGTGGCCTTGGTTGCTCCCTGTGTGTCCTCAGAGAGATAGACCCTACCCTCAGTGCCCAGGTTACAGGTGCTGCGCAGGACCAGGTGTTGGAGGGAAGGACCCCACAGGCCCCGACAGGTGAGCCCCACACTCTCCATCTCTCTCCAGAGTGGGCCCGAGCCTCTGTGCATCGTCCCCATTGCTTCTTGAGGGCCGGGGCCCTGGGAAAGGTGCTCGGGGGCTCTGCAAGCAGCATGCTGGGACCCTGCAGGGCCGGCCACCTGGAGGGTGGCTGTGTTGTTAGAACCCGGTTTTATTCATTGCTCCATTATAAAGTGAGGAAAACAAATTTTTCACTTGAGAGGATCCACGACGCAGATACACGTGTAATGGACTGTTTCTGCTTTTCTTCCCCTCCCTTGCGTTCTGCATCTGTAATTTAAAATTTCACAGTCTCGAACGTGCCGGCTTCTCTGTGGGCATGTTCCGATTTGTTTCAGATTCAGCGAGCACTAATTGAGCAGCTAGCTACCCCGGCCCCCAGCTGTGCGGGAGGGAGGGCCAGGCTGCAGGGTTGGCTGTGGGCCAGGCGTCACACTGCCTTGGCCTCTGGCCAGCTCGCTGAGCCTCTGTGTCCTTGTCTGTGCAATGGGGCTGGTCATCCTGACACCCACGGCCCTGAGGATTAAGTGAGGTCCCGGGAGAAGCACCTAGCAAGGTGCATGGCACACAGTAGGTGTCCAGTGATGCCGCCTGTCATCCTGTTCTCAGGTGATGGGCACCACAGCGCCCTGGCTGCTACGGCTCTGGATAGTTGGCAGTCACGAGCCGTCTTCAGTTCTGCTCAGAGCTGAGTGGAGATCGCAGCCAGCCAGGTGTGTGTCTGGCCGGAACGTCATCATCTGCTTCTGGCCAAAGACATTCTTGGGCCCAGGGTAGTAACACGGTCCTCTCAGGCCAATCAGAGGCTTGGGTACCATCCCTGTGCCTTTGATTAATTTTTAAAAGAGAAGCAAATTGATTTTTGCCTAGTAAGTATGGGTGCTCAGAATGTGGGGGAAGAACGGAAAGTGGGACTTTAGGAGATGCCACAGTGGGAACCCTAACCCAGGGGTCCCGGGCGCTGGAGGTTCTGCGATTCCCAGAAAACTGGCCAGTAAATGCCTCCAGAGGAGGAAGGTGGCAAGTTGGGACCTGGCCATGGGCGGTCATTTGGGGTGGGGAGAGGGCCTCCTGGGTTCCGTGGGAGCTCCGGGGAGTGAGACATTGTCAGCCATTTCTCTCCTGCTGTCCCTCTATGACCTGCCCCAGCCCTGAGGCCCATGACCTGGCCCCCATCCCCGGCCAGCTCTTGGGGCTGCCTTGTGGAGGCCACACTCAGGGAGGCTGTCCTTAGAGTGCATTCGCTCCTGCTCTGGTATGACCCCCAGGAGCCCTGGGAGGAGCGCAGAGGCCCCTGCTCAGCACTGGCCCTCCCTCCCACGAGACTCTGGTTTCACAACCCTCCCCCCACTTCTCTACCCTCCTGGGGAAAAGGCCACAGTGGCCCTTGGGAGCCCCCCACACTTGGTGTCCCCATTCTTGGGACCTCAGTTTCCCCATGTGTCAGGAAGGGGCTGAACTCTGTACTGTGGTCGGCATGGAGCAGACCCTGTGTGTAGCTGGCAAGGGCTGAGCTGAGGCCTCATGCTGTGAGTGTTGTCAGCTCCTGTCCTGGGGTCACCATGTCTTAGAGCTGCTGGGTTGAGATGGATTGATCAGAGGGTCCTGCAAACACTACCGAATTCCTCCTAGGTAGCAAGTGGCCACAGGATGGAGGAGGAGGCTCATCTCTGCCCTGAGGCCTGAGGCCACATTTCAGTGGAGGAGACAGTAGGATGGAAGCTGCCATGGAGGGGCGATGAGAGGTCCGCAGAGGAAGCAACTGACAAGTCCACTTGGCACTTCTGGGAGGCTTGGTTGGCAGAGGGTTTTAAAGGATGCATAGGCGTTGTCTAGGCAGCAAGCCAGGGTAGGGCATCTTAGGCACAAGGAATGCAGAAGGGCACAGGCATGAAGGGTTCGACAGGTGAGGGAGTGGGGAGGGGTCTGTGTAGCTGGAGTGCACATGGGTGTGTGTGTAGGCGGGCCAGGAAGTAACGTTAGCCTGGCTGTCAGTGTAGGGCCTCTGACCCAGCCATTTTTAGGTAGTAGCCCAGAGCTGACCACCCTAAGGGAGGCGTTAGTGACAAGGAGCTCTCCCTAGGAGTGCAGACACCCAGTGCTCCCCAGGACGTTGGTCTTCAGGAAGGCCTGGAGTCGGAGCTGGTCCCCTGGGAGCCGGGAGCCAGAGCCAGCTCATCAGCCACACCTCAGGGTAGAAGGGAGAGGTGTCCTCCCCCAGCAGACGGTTATTAAAGTGCGCCATCCTTAAGGCTCATTAAGGAGTGTTAAATGCTAATGAATTTAGAGAGGGGTGTCTTGGGGCCTGTTTCCTTGGAAACGTTTGAGAGCAGGTGCTTTATAATGAGCTGTACCTATTTTAAAAGTGAGCCATGAAGCCCACTTTGATAGGCTGGATCTCAGATGCTGATGGGTAAGTGTGAACAAAGCCGATGGAGGCCAGTGGAGATGCTTTGTGCTCTCAGAAATATCATTCTCTGGTGGTTTCTATAGAAACCGCTGGTGCCTAGGGAGGAGGGCTGCCGAGCTCCAGCCTCGTTTACACGGCATACGGCTCGTGGCCCCAACCCCGGAAAGCCACCGGAGTCCCCTTGGCAGGGTGGGCCTGGTTTCTGGACAAAATGGGACAGATGTATGTTTTGGTAGCTGTAATTCTGCTTCAATTATATCTGCTCCATCCTCCCGCTCGATTTCAGTGGCTCCCCACTCAGCTGATTATGTTCATAAGAATGAACATTTGTGGAGTTCATCCCACAGAGCACTTTAAAGAAACTTTATTATCGAAGAACTTGAGCATATTCCAAAGTCGAGAGACTACTTGATGAACCTCCTGTAACCAGTACTCATGTCTACAATTATAAACTGACGGCCACGCTTCTTTTATCTATAATTCTACCCCTTTTCTCAGCGAGCTCCTCCCTTCCCGGCCCCACTGCTGGGTTATTTTGAAGCAAATCCCAGAATCATGCTATTATTTCCCTTGTACACACTTTTGTTTCTTTAAAAGATAAGGACTTAAAAATTATTATACTATTGTCACTTCTGACAATTTAACAATAATTACTAATATCCTCAAATATCCACCCCATGTTCAAATTCCCCTGATTACCTCATAATTTTAAATATTTTTAAAACAATTCCCTTGTTCAAATCAGGATCCAAACATGTGGTTGATAAGTCTCTTAAGTCTTGTTTATTCTAGAGGTTTCTCTCCTTTATTTTCCTTGTAACTTATTTATTGGGTAATACATTGATTGTTTGTCGTTTGTTTTCCTCATTGCATCCCCTGTGATGTCATTTAAAACATCCTCTGATCCCTGTATGTCTTACACACGGGAAGTTATGCGCGGAAGATCACCGGGGGCTTGTTACTCTGATTCTGATTCCGACTCTGGGTCTGGAGTGGGGCTGGAGAAGATACAACGGAATAAGCTCCCAGGTAATACCGATGTTGCTGGTCCGGGGTTCTACTCTCTCCTCCCCCTCCCCTCCCCCTCTCGCTCCCCCTCCCGCTCCGCTCCCCCTCCCGCTCCGCTCCCCTTCCCGCTCCGCTCCTCGTCCTGCTCCTCTTCCCGCTCCGCTCCTCTTCCCGCTCCGCTCTAATCCCCGTCCCGCACCTCTTCCCTTCCCGCTCCGCTCCTCTTCCCGCTCCTCTTCCCTTCCCGCTCCGCTCCTCGTCCTGCTCCTCTTCCCGCTCCGCTCCTCGTCCTGCTCCTCTTCCCGCTCCGCTCCTCTTCCCGCTCCGCTCTAATCCCCGTCCCGCACCTCTTCCCGCTCCGCTCCTCTTCCCGCTCCGCTCTAATCCCCGTCCCGCACCTCTTCCCTTCCCGCTCCGCTCCTCTTCCCGCTCCTCTTCCCTTCCCGCTCCGCTCCTCTTCCCGCTCCGCTCCTCTTCCCGCTCCGCTCCTCTTCCCTTCCCGCTCCTCTTCCCTTCCCGCTCCTCTTCCCGCTCCGCTCCTCTTCCCGCTCCGCTCCTCTTCCCTTCCCACTCCGCTCCTCTTCCCGCTCCTCTTCCCTTCCCGCTCCGCTCCTCTTCCCGCTCCGCTCTGCTCCCCGTCCCGCTCCTCTTCCCGCTCCGCTCCCCGTCCCGCTCCGCTCCTCGTCCCGCTCCGCTCCCCGTCCCGCTCCGCTCCTCTTCCCGCTCCGCTCCCCGTCCCGCTCCGCTCCTCTTCCCGCTCCGCTCCTCTTCCCGCTCCGCTCCCCGTCCCGCTCCGCTCCCCGTCCCGCTCCGCTCCTCTTCCCGCTCTGCTCCCCGTCCCGCTCCTCTTCCCGCTCCGCTCCCCGTCCCGCTCCGCTCCTCTTCCCGCTCCGCTCCCCGTCCCGCGCCGCTCCTCGTCCCGCTCCGCTCCCCGTCCCGCTCCGCTCCCCTTCCCGCTCCTCTTCCCGCTCCGCTCCCCTCCCCATCCCTCCCCCCTCTCCTAGGAAGGATCTAGATAGAGACTTGGTAAGATTCAAGGACTCCCCACCCCACTCTCCTAAGAATATCTGATTAGATTCAGGCTCAATTTTTTGGCAAGAACAGTTCATAGGTCATGGTGCATACTTCTATCGGGAGGTGCCTAATGTCTGGTTGAACCCCTTCTGATGATGTGATAGACCCAGAGGTTCAAGTGTTGTCAGCTGGGTGCCTCCATTATAAAGTCCCCATCAGCTTGTCACCTAATGGTCTTTGTAGTTACTAATGATCATTGCCTAGATCTATGAATTCATTAGCGGTTGCAAAACTACTGCACTATTTGTTGTTGTTGTTGTTAATCCTCACCAAGAATAGTTTTTCCATTGCTTTTTAGATTGAGTGGAAGGGAGGGAGGGAGGAGGAGAGAGAGAGAGCGAAACATCCATGTGAGAGAGACACACCAATTGGTTGCCTCCCTCATGTGCCCTGGCTGGGGCTGGGATTTGAACTCGAAATCCAGGTGCATGCCCTGACCGGGAATCAAGCCTGAGACCCTTGGGTGCACAGGCCGATGCTCCAACCACTGAGCAACACCGGCCAGGGCTACAGCATTTCTTTAAAGAAAGCTTTGCTTTTAAACTTCCTCACCTGAAGGGCAGGAAAGGCAGGAGAAAGCCTTGAGTCTTTTCCTTTATTTACCAGCTTTCAGAATAAAGAATTGTTTCCCTAGCATTCTCCAAAGGTACCTAATCAGTTTTTTTTTCTTTTTCTTTTTGTAGTAACATTAACTCATGGTCTATAACATAGTTGATGTTTCAATCAGTTGTGGCTCTTGTTACTATTCCATTGTTTAAATCACCCTAGTAAGTGATCCTCTTTAAGTAGGCTCCTGAGTCTTTTATTTTTTTATGTTTTAGAGAAAGAGGAAGGGAGAGAGAGAGAGAAACCTCAATGTGAGAGAGGAACATCGATCGGCTGCCTCCTGCACATCCCGCTACTGGGGATCAAGCCCGCCACCCGAGTGTGTACCTTGACCGGGAATTGAACTGGGACCTCTCATTCCATGGGACGACGCTCAGTCCACTGAGCCACACTGGCGGGGCCTGAGTCTTTCTTTTTTAAAAACGAACTTTATTGAGGTACAACTAATGTACAGTTAGAGTGCACAATTCCGTTAGTTTTGACAGACGTATATGTCCACAGAACCACCACTGCGGTCAGGATACAGGACATTTGCATCACTTGGTAGTTCCCTCCTGTACTTTTATTGTAGGTCCCCTCCTCTCCTTCAGTCCCTAGGCAACCACTGATCCATCTGTCTCTGAAGAGCATTTCACATATTTCTGGACCCTCGTATAAATGGAATCAGACAGCAGGTACTCTGTTTGGCTTCTTTCAGTTAGCATAATGTCTTTGGGTTCATCTGTGTAATTGAATGTATTAGTTTTCCTTTGTGTATGTATGTATGTATGTATGTATGTACGTATGTATGTATGTATGTATTTATGGTTAATCTTCACCCGAGGATATTTTTCCATTTTATATAAAGTGGAAGGGAGGGAGGGAAAGAGAGAGAAGCATTGATGTGAGAGACACACCTCAATTGGTTGCCTCCCACGTGACCCCAATTGTGGCCGGGGATCAAACCTGCAGCCCAGGTACGTGCCCTTGACCGGGAATCAAACCTGAGACCCTTCTGTCCACAGGCTGATGCTCTAACTGCTGAGCCAGACCAGTCAGGGTAGTGCTCCTTTTCATTGCTGAGTAGTATTCCATTGTATGGATGTATCACAGTTTGTTTATCCATTTACCGGCTACGGACATTTTGGATTGTCTCCAATGTTTGGCTATTGTAAATTAAGCTGTGAATATTCATGAACAGGTCTTTATGTGAATATATTTTTCATCTCTATTGATTATACTGGGAGCTTAATTATTAAGTGGGATGGTGCGTGTGTGTTTAAATTTGTAATAAATTGCTGTTCTGTTTCCTAAGTGTTGGTACATTTCACATTCCTCCAGTGCTCCACATTCTTACCAATACCTGGTATTATTGATCTTTTCCATTTTAGCCACTGTAGTGTGTTGTGGTATACTGATTGTGGCTTTAATTTCATTTCCCTGCTGACTAATGATGTTGAGCATGTTTTCATGGGTTTATCAACCATTTGAATGTCTTCTTTTGCAAAGGGTCAGTTAAAATTTTTTGCCTATTTAGGATGATGATGATGATGGAGTTCTAGAAGTTCTTTGTATATTCTGAAATTATTTTTATTTCATTCCCTGTTTTTTGTTTTGTACTCTATCTAAGGAATCTTTGCCTACTATGAGATTGCAAAGGTTTTTCTCCTGTGTTTTTTCCTAGAAGTTTCATGGTTTTCACTTTTACTTTTAGATCTGTGATCATTTTGAATTAATTTTTGTGTATGGTACAAGGTAAGGTTTATTTATTTATTTTTGTTATGTGGGATACCCAGTGGTTTTAGCACCATTTGTTGAAAAAACATTCTTTTTCCTGTTAGATTGCTTTGAAACTTTGGTTGAAAATCAGTTGGCCATGTATGTGTGGGTCTCTTTCTGGGTTCTCAATTCTGTTCCATTGAATTATATAGTTATCCTTTTACCAATACCACACTCTCTTGGTTTCTATAGCTGTATAGTAATTCCTGAAATTGGATAGTACAAGCCCTCCAATTGTGGTTTAAAAAAAATTTTTTTTTTCCTTTATTGATTTTAGAGAGAAAGGAAGGGAGAGGGAGAGAGAGATAGAAACATCGATGAGCGAGAACATCGATTGGTCGCCTCCTGCATGCCTCCCACTGGGGATTTGGTCCACAACTTGGGCATATGCCCTGACCGAGAATCAAACCAGAGACCTCTTGGTGCCTGGGTGGATACTCAACCACTGAGCCACACCGGCCAGGCTCCAATTGTGTTTTTCTTTTTAAAAATTGTTATGACTATTCTTGGTTCTTTATATTACTTTTTTTTTTTTTTTTTTATCCTCACCCGAGGACATTTTTCCATTTTTTGTTCAGGTAGAGTGGGAGGGAGAGAGAGGAACAGAGAGAGAGAGAGAAACATCGATGTGAAAGGAACACATTGAGTGGCTGCCACCCGCACGACTGACCAGAGCTGGGGACAAACTGCAATAGAGGTACATGCCCTTAGCAGGAACCGAAGCTTTAACCGCTGAGCCATACTGCCAGGGCACCATTTTAATTTTACAATAATATCATCAATTTCTTTTCATTTTCTAAAAAATGTTTTTGTTGATTTTTTAGAGAGAGAGGAAGGGAGAAAGAGATAGAAACATCGATTTGAGAACCCGGCCAGTGTGGCTCAGTGGTTGAGCATCCACCCATACACTAAGAGGTTGCCAGTTCAATTCCTGGTCAGGGCACATGCCCAAGTTGTGGGCCCAGTTCCTAGTGGGGGGCATGCAGGAGGTGACCAATCGATGTTCTCTCTCATCGATGTTCTATTTTTCTCTCCCTCTCCCTTCCTCTCTCTCTAAAAAAAATCAATAAAGAAAAAAAAAAATTAAAAAGGAAACATTGATGTGAGAGAGAAACATTGATCAGCTGCCTCCTGCACGCCCCCTACTGGGGATCAAGCCCAAAACCCAGGCATGTGCCTCTCAGTCCATGGGACGATGCTCAGTCCATGGGACGATGCTCAGTCCACTGAGCCACACTGGCCAGGCATCTTGTCAACTTCTACAAACAAACAAACAAACAAACCAAAAAACAAGCCTGCTGGTATTTTGATTAGGATTGTGTTCAGTATAGAGATCAGTTTGAGATAATTGACATCTTAGCAATATTGGCTTTTCTCATCCATGAGCATTGTAAATCTTTCGTTTCTTTAGTTCTTCCTTAGTTTTTCTCAGCAGTGTTTTTAGTTTCCAGTGTGCAGATGTTACACATATTGTGTCAAATTTATTCCTCAGTATTTCATGATTTGAATACTATTGTGAATGAAATTTTATTTTTAGTTTTATTTGCAATTGGTTGTTGCTAGTATCTGGAACTGCTATTAATATTCTTATACAGTTGGCTCTCTGTGTCAGGATTCAACTCACTGCATATCAAAAACAGTTTTTTTTTGGTCTGCGTAGGAATCTGGGATGCGGAAAGTGCCCTGCATGCGTTGTTCTGTGCCATTGTAGATAAGGCACTTGAGTGAGTACTCGTGGATTTTGGTTTCCTTGGGTGTGGGGGGTTCCTGGGACCAATCCTCTGCGATACAGAAGGACAACTGTATTGACCGTGTGTCCTGTGACTTTACTAAATCCACTTCTTAATCCTAATAGCTTCTTAATAAATTACTCAGGAATTTTCATGTACACATTGTAAATAATAGTTTTATAGCTTTCTTCCCAGTGTATATGCATTTATTTCTTTTTCTTGCTGTATTGCAATAGCGAACACAGCCAGTACAATGTTGAATAAAAGTAGTGAGAGTGAACATCCTTGTCTTGTTCCTGATCTTATGGGAAAAGCATTCAGCCTTTTACCATTAAGAATGATGTTAGATGTGGAGTTTTCATAACTGTCCTAAATCAGTTTAAGGAAGTTGCCTTCTATTTTTAGTTTTCTAAAGCTTATATCTTATATTGGTGTTGAATTTTGTCAAATGATTATACCATACCTATATGTTTTGCTATATTCAGTTGTTATGGTGAATTACATTGATTTTTTGAAGTTGATTTTTTAGAGGGAGAGGATAGGAGCGAGAGATAGAAACCTCAATGTAAGAGAGACCTCTTAGTCCATGGGACGAAGCTCAGTCCACTGAGCCACGCCGGCCGGGCCACATTGATTTTTTTTAAAAAATGTTAAACCAGCCACCTTGGCTGGGTGGCTTAGTTGGTTGGAGCATTGTCCCACACACCAAAAAGGTTGCAGGTTCAATTCCTGGTTGGGGCACATATGAGAGGCAACCTATCAATGTTTTTGTCTAACATCAATGTTTCTCTCTCTCTCTTCCCTCCCCCCTCTCTCTAAAAATCAGTAAAAATCAATATCCTCAGTTGAGAATAAAGAAAGAGTTAAATCAACCATGTATTTCTGGGATAAACCCTATATAGTTGTGATATATTATTCTTTCTATATATGGTTCCATTCTAGTTGCTAGTAATTTGTTAAGTATTTTATATCTATGTTATTGGGGATTATTGGCTTATACTTTTTCTTGTGTTGTCTTGGTCTGGTTTTGATGTGAGATTAATATTGGCCTCAAACAAATGAATTGAGAAAATTCTCTCCTCAAATACTTCCTGAATGTTGGTGTAGGGTTAGTGCCATCTCTTCCTTAAGGGAGCATTCATCAGTGGAGGCATCTGGGCTCAGGTGGTGTTGTTGTTACTGGAAGATTTTTAATTACTATTTTTTTAAAAAGGTGTATGTAGGGCTATCAGGTACTCTATTTACTCATTGTTGTAACTTTTTTCCTGCAAGGAATTTATCCATTTCATCAAAATTATCAAATGATTGGCCTAAAATTGTTCTTAATATCATTTCACTATTTTTTAATGGCTATTGCGTCTTCATTCCTTCCTGTTGATCTGAATATCGATCTGGTATCATTTCCATTTGAAGAACTTCCTTTAACATTTCTTGTACAGAATTCACAGGTGTGAATTCTCTCAGTTTTTGTTTGTCAGAAAAAGTCTTTAGGCAGAAAAACAGACACACAGACAAATGGAATGGAATTGAGAGCCCAGAAATAAACCCACATGTATATGGGCAAATCATTTTTGACAAAGGAGCCAAACACATACAATGGAGAAAAGAAAGCCTCTTTAATGAATGGCGCTGGGAAAATTGGAAAGCCACACGCAAGAAATAGGAAACTAGATAATTGCTTGTCCCCATGTACAAAAGTTAACTCAAAATGGATCAAAGACTTAAATATAAGAACTGAAATAATAAATTACATAGAAGAAAACATAGGTACTAACTAAATTTATGGACTTTGTTCTTAGAGAAGATTTTATGAATTTGACCCCAAAGGCAAGGGGAGTAAGGCAAACATACATGAATAGGACTGTATCACACGAAAAGGTTTCTGCACAGCAAGACACCGCCACAGAACGAAAAGGCCGCCCGCCGCACGGGAGAGAGACAGTGGAGCCTCGGTTCTCGAACCTAATTCATTCCGGAAGGCTGATCGAGAAGCGATTTGTTTACAACCAATCATTTTCTCCCATTAGAAATAATGTATATTGAATTAATTCATTCCAGACCCCTACATGATTCCCTGTTCTAACCTTTTTTATACACAGTACATGTCGAATGTACTGTTTAATCTATAAATACTTCTTTTCTCAAATGTGTCAGGCCACTCCCTCCTGGCCTTGGACGGGCCACCT